ATATATATATATATATATATATATATATATAATTCAGGAAAAAAAATATATTTAACTTTCCTATTATGAGAAAATTAGGATATATTTTTTTTCTAAGCTGTAAGTTGAGTGTCGCATATATTCTTTTGTTCTGGAACTATACAATCCAAGATTATGGAAAGATTCTTCTTTCCGTGTTTCAAATGTCAAAATGTGATTTGTAGATGAGACGGTTTTTACTGTTTATTAAATGAAGAGATTAACTCAAAAAAATTGTATTTTATGCGAAAATGACTTCAAAATTTCTTTGTATTGCTTATCCAGACTAAGACGCTCTAATTTATTATTTACTTATACATCAACTATATTGATTTCTCCGCTGTCAAAAAAAAGAATATACATTGACTTTTCCACACTAATATCTTATTTTTACTTTCAAACAAGAAATTGTGGGTGTGGTTTCTAGGAAATTGTTTGTATAAGCTGTAAATTGTGTGCTGCACCACAGCGTTGATATTTTGTTTTCTGGAACTATATAAACCACCAAAGTGTACTAAACGATTTTTGTTCCCTGTTTGGAACTATATAAATTTATCGTGTGTACAGGCAATAAAGATCCATCGTTGTACTTTGTGTGTATTTGAGTTGTCGAAGGTGAAACAGAGATGTCTAGGAATTATGACAACTGGGAAAGGTTGGTGGGAGCTGTGCTGCAGCGAGAGCAGGATCGTGAAGTGGCCCGAGCCGATTCAAGAAGCACAAGCTTCAGTTCCATTTCCGCATCATTAGATTTTGACGAGCAATCCTTGAGTTTGCCAAGAGAAGAACAAAGTGTTGAAGATGGAAGAAGGAATTCAATATTAGATAGTAACAGTTCTTATATAGGCTCCTCGAGCACTGGAGGTGAATAATACATGGTTTAGGAATAAATAGATTAATTTCTTTCTAATTTTCGATTACAATTCCTTCATTCAAAATGTAAAAAGTAGTATTTGCTTATATTCCTTCTCCTCAGATCACCCCATCTACCAAAAGCCAGCAGGAAAATCAAAATTTTATGTGGTAAAATTTCAGACTCTTAGTCTATGTAAGCAGATACTTGTGGAAATGAATTGATGGGCTTCCTTTCCAAAGTTTCTTTTTTTTTTTCCAGAAATTTAAAACGCTATATATTTTTGAGGTGGATCTGGTTTTTTTTTTTTTGTGTGTGAATGAACCACAGGGATTGCTGTGTACAAACCGGATCTTGAAGGAGCTCAAGGACATTCAGAAGGATCCTCCTGCCACTATCAGTGCTGGTATATGACATTCGTTTTGATGAAGATCTATTTAAACATGTTCACGAGTATACTTTTAAGTTTTACCTTTCGGTAATCATCTGTAATGCAACATAAGTTTCATTTATTTATTTTTTCGTTGCTTATTGTTTTTCCACTTCAAATAAATTTCAGGTCCAGTAGGTAGGGACTTGTTCCATTGGCAAGCTACTATCATGGGTCCTCCGGACAGTCCGTATGCCAATGGGGTTTTCCTACTCACCATCCATTTTCCGTCAAACTACCCTTTTAAGTCACCTAAGGTGTGTTAGACATACTAATTATTCGTCCCACCGTATTTTGTTTTTTCCATTCTTTTCTATTTTAAACATAACAATTAAATTATATATTGCAGTAATATATCCCAGTAATATCTGATATGAATCATGCTCCACGTATAGAAGCATGATTCACAGAAGTTTTCATTTGGACGAATTTTGCAGGTTACTTTTATAACAAAAGTTTTCCACCCAAATATAAACAGCAATGGAACCATATGCCCTGCAATGTTCGTGGAATCCTTCCCTTCCCCAATCATTTCCAAGGTTTGTTTTCTATTTCTCGTGTTGGTGAGCCTTACCGTATTTGCCTATGTACTCAACTTTTTACTTGAAAATAAGTGAAAATTCAAGCTTGGCCTTACTAATTTGTAGCACCTTGATCCAAGTGACCATTGTCGAGTTAGATTTGTGGTGGATGACATTTAATTGCCATAAGGATAATTCTGTGGAGATATGAGTTATACTAAACATTTTGAAATTAAGGCCTTTTAAAAGTGGGAAAAACTTTCTCCATTAATCACAGCTACTTCGTAATATTTTAAAATGCTTTATAGCGACCTTCATATTAATATCATTAAACATATGTCATAAACATTACTTCCAATTGCATTCATGGTCTCCTTTAGATCATTGGGCTCGTTTTTATTATAATACCAAAAAAAAGTCGTTTCCATTTCTAATTGGTTTGCTTGGGCTTATTTTCATTCTTCTTCTACAATGAAATTTTATGATAAAAATGATTTCCACTTCAAATATGTGATTGAATGCTTGAATTAGTATTCTCTTTCCTCAAACTTCCCAAACCTGAAAACTTTCTTGTGAAAAACTCAACTTCTTGTATGCTAGACCTTCTCCCTATGCCAATTTAACCTTGTTTTATTTAAAAAAAAAAAAACAAATAAACATCTCCTCCAAACTCACATCCTTTCCCCCCACCCTGAAACTTCCATCAGTGAGGTTGGGGGAATAGATGGTGGTTACGAACCAACTGCCACCACATATTTATATATTTTTCTTATTGGATTCTTAGGTACGCCATAGTCTTCCAACACCACTAATCTTCATTTTCTTCTCTCCCTCTCTCTCTCTCTCTCTCTCTTCTCAGTCTTCACTAATTTTTTCTAACATACTTTTTAAGGCCATCATGGAAGGAACCTTCTAGTGTAGAGATAAAAAGATTCCACAATCTTGAAAACTTGTTGACCCAGTTGCTAAGATAAGGGATGCAATATCCCTAAAGATGATATTTTTATCTTTTTTTATCTAAACTGAATAAATTGCTCCTTCAATTGTAATGGCTCAGTAATTTGTTGGCGTGAGTTGCTCCTCCAAGCAATCAGATGAGCATAATTTAGGTGTGCAATCCTCGATCATAGGACCAGCTGTCTATTTTAGTTAAATTAGCCAAAATGTTAGTGACTACCATGATGTAAGCATAGCCAAATATAGACCACATTTGTGGTTATATACAGTCGAAAACGTGTAAAGAAATACAGAAAATATATATATGATTTTCGTGCAAACTATCTGATGATATTTTATAGTTTGTAGGAGAAGTAAGTGAATTAGACCAGAAAGATTTGGTATTTTATGTGAAGTATATTTTGTAGGGTAAAAATAGTAGGGAGTAATTTTAAATTGGACAAGATAATTGAAAGAGGAAAATATAATTTATTTGAAAATGAAATTTTTCAAAGTTGATGGAAGGAAGATTTTATACAATGACTGGGGTAGGAACTATTCTTCAACTCCACACATTACAATTGAAGCAACCCACCTACTTATACACGCAAAATGGCGGTGGAAGCATCCTAGTTTCCTATTATTTAATTTTACTTATTGCTAAGAAAATCTAGAAATTTCCAATTTTATATATTTTGTTTTGTTTTGCTTGCTCATTAAAAAATTATGGAGAATTCTAGAGAAATCTAAATATGCAGCAAACTTAATACGCCTCATTGGTGCATATTTTGGTAACTCCAATCATTTCTCGTAGTAATTCAAACTTTGCTCGTGGTAACACTTTCGTAAATATATTTGCTAATTGTTCTTCAGTCTTACAATGTTTGAGCTCTATCTCTTTGTTTAATTCAACTTCCCAGATAAAGTGATACTTAATGCCAATGGGTTTGGTTCTACTATGAAATACGAGATTCTTGGCAATTGCTATTATAGACTTGCTATCATAGTAAATCTCTGTAGCTTCATTTTGTGGCCCTCCCATATCTTAAAGTATATGCTATAGCCATATAACTTGGCTCATTGCCATTGCTGCTGCAATATACTTTGCTTCAGCTGATGATTGTGCAATCGTTGCTTGTTTCTTTGATGCCCAAGAAAATATTCCTAAAACAAGTGTGAATGCATAACTTGATGTGCTTTTCATATCATTTACTGATCTTGCCCAATCTCTGTCTATATATCCATATAGTTATGAGTCTGGCAAAGATTGATACCATATGCCATAGTCTTTTGTTCCTTGGAGGTATCTTAATATTCACTTTGCAGCTCCATAGTGAACTTGACTTGAATTTTGCATGAATCTTGAAAGTAGGTAGGTTGCATAATAATGCCCGACTTTGTAGGTGTGAGATAGAGTAAACTTCTAATTAGGCTTCGAAATTGTGAGTTGTTTGCTTTTGGAGTACCATCTTCCTTTTTGAGTAATTTATTGCTATCAAGGGGTGTTGCTACTATCTTGCAAACCTTCCATTTTGAAATTCTTTAATAGACTAGTGGCATACTTCTTCTATTCTTTAATAGACTAGCTACTTCATAACTTTCAAGTTCAACGATCATCAAGTTGCAGCTTTGATATATTTATGATAATCTTCGTGTTTTTCTTGGCGATGATTCTGATGAGTCAACTGGTTCTTCTATCGTTGATTGTTCTAGTTGATTATTCTCGTCAATGTCACCCTCCTGTTTTTGTTGTTGTGTTAGGATGCTGATAGCTTTTCTTTCTACTTAACCAGTCTCCCAGTTGTAGGTGGCATCTTCATCAAACTTAAGATCTCGAGTTATAATTAGCTTCTTTATTCTTAGGTCATAGACTCGATAGCCTTTAGATTGAGAGCTATAACCTGGAAGATTCAATTTTCTGTCTTCTCATCTAGCTTACCTCTTTTTTCTAGTGGAATATGTGTTTCTACTTGACCAGTCTCCCAGTTGTAAGCAGCATCTTCATCAAACTTAACGTCTCGACTTATAATAAGCGTCTTTGTTCTTAGGGTATAGACTCGATAGCCTTTAGATTGAGTGCTATAACCTAGAACCTAGAAGCTAGGAAGATTCATTTTTCTGTCTTCTCGTCAACCTTACCCATTTTCTCCTATGGAATATGTGTGTAGCAGATATAGCCGAAAACTCTAAGATGCTTTGCTGACGATTTTCGTCCGCTCGATACATCAACTGGTGTTTTATCTTGCATTGCTTTGGCTAGACATCGATTTAATAAGTAGACTGCAGTGTTTATTGCTTCTGCCCAGAAGATTTTTGGAAGAACTTTCTCCATTAGTATAGCTTTAGCTGTCTCCATTATTGTTCTATTCTTTCTTTTGATACGCCGTTTTGTTCAAGTACGTATCCAACAGTGAGTTGATGCTCCATTCCTTCATTTTTACCAAACTTGTTGAATTTATTTGATGTGTATTCTTTACCACTTTGGTTTTTGACATAGCATTTGAACTTTTAAAAATCTCAAAAACTTGAGATTTCTCATGCAAAAAGTATACCTATGTCACTCTAGTGTAATCATCTATAAAGAGAATGAAGTACATATTTTGTTCATGTGATGGAGTACGCATCTACCTGCATACATCTTATGTATCATCTCTTTAACTCTCCAGAATTTTTTGGACTAAAAAGGTTGACGGTGTTGTTTCCAGAGCAAACATTGTTTTCAAACTTCTTTAATCTCCTTTATGACCGGTAAATCTCTCATCATGCACTTTTGCTGAAGGATCTTCAACCTGTGGAAGTGGAAGTGTCCAAATCTTGTGTGCCACAACCATGACTCATCCACTTTCTCAGTCATTGCCACATTGTTTGTGTATTTCCATTGAATTGGGAAGCATCTATTCTCCGCTTTTTGACTTTTACAATTACAAAAAAATTATCTTTCTTGTCATAGATCGTAAAAGAATCTCCTTCAAAATGTAAATGATATCTCTTCTCCATTATTTGACATACGCTTAGTAGATTTTGATCTATTGTAGGGACCAAGAGAACTTCATTGTTATATCTCTTGCCCTTTTTTGTATCAACGGCAATAGTGCCTTCGCCTATTGCCTCTATGAAATTTCTATCGTCAATTTTTATTTTTGTATTTATTTTATCAAGACCACAGAAAATACTTTCATCTTTCGTCATGTGATTATTGCAGCCACTGTCTAGATACCATGTATCTAATTGCTCATCAAATACATCGTTGTTGAAGGCATAAAATAGACTTCATTCTATACCATTTTCTTCATAGAAATTAGCTTGATAATTTTATTTAAAAACAAAATTTTTCTTCATGTCCAAAATTTTTTTATAGCTAAGGTACGTAGTTTTCCTTTAAACCAACAATCATTTTCCAAATGACTTTTTCTTTTACAAACGTCACATGGAGGATACTTATTATTATCAATTTCTTTTCCTTTAAGTTCTTTATTTTAGAATTTTCTTTAATTTTTTCCCACCTTCTTTATATTTCTGAAATTGTATATTAAGTTTAGGTTGAAAACCGTTTTCTATGTTATTTTCATAATTCATTTCTAATCTATTTTCATGAGCTTCCAATGAACCCATTAATTATTCAGATGTTAATTTATCTATATCTTTAGACTCCTCAATAGCTGAAATAATCATATCATATTTTTCTGTACAAGTAATTAAAATTTTGCCAACAACTTTCTTTTCAGAAACATTATCTCCATAAGATCTTAGTTGATTTGCTATTTCATCAATTCTTGAATAATAATCTTTTACGATTTCAGAATCTTTCATTTTTAGGTTTTCAAAATTCTTTCTTAAAGTTTGAAGAAGGCAAGTACGTACCTTGTCACTTCCATAGAACTCCTCTTTCAGCTTATCCCAAGCTTCTTTTGCCATTTTGGCTCCCATAATTATCAGAAAATAAGTGTCTGTCAAGCTTATTTGTAAAGCAAGTAATGCTAGAGAATCTTTTTGTTGATTCTTTTTAAGTTCCTTCTTTTGTGCAGCAGTTGGAGTGGAAATGTCATATGGGATAGTATACCCATCTGACGACATCCTATAAA